TGAAATTTAACTATTAAAAAAGTTTGAGGAACTCAGACTTTGAAGTTAGGGCTCCCTTTTTCCAGATAAAGCACATTGCCTGGTTTATTGCAAGGCACTTAGAACATGTAACCAAAAACACTCAATTTAGGAATAGGAATGATTGTTTCACAGCTAAGTGCTCTCTCAGGGTCTTTTTTTTTACGCCCCTCTCAAGTTTACCTTTATATATTTTTCTTGTTCTTTAATATTTTGTGACAGATTTGGCAACTTTTAAAAAGTTACTGTTTTATTTGAGTTGAATAGTGCATAAAATTAATAGATGTTTTCAGAAAATCCATTATTAAGAGTAGAGGAATATTAAGAGGAGAAATATTATTCTAAAGAGAATCAAAACCACAATGAGAGACCGTCTCATCCCCGTTAGAATGACAGTTATGAAAAAGACAGTAACAAATGCTGATGAGAATGCAGAGACAAAGGAACGTTTAAACACTGTTAGTGGGAATGTAGACTTGTACAGCCATTGTGGAGAACAGTATGGAGGTTCCTGAACACACTAAAAATAGAACTACCATATGATTCAGCAGTCTTACTACTGGGTATATATCCAAAAGAAAATTCATATACTGAGACATCTGCACCTGCCATGCTCATTCCAGCACTGTTCACAATAGCCAAGATTTGGAATCAACCTAAGTGTCTGTCAGCACATGAACAGTGGTATGTGTACCCAGTGGAATACTATTGAGCCATTAAAAAAACAAAATTTTGTAATTCTCATCAAGATGTATGAGCTTAGAAGACATTATGTTAGGTAAGCCAGGCACAGAAAGATAAATACGCCATGTACTGTACTTACGTGGAAGGTAAAAAAGATCTCATAGAAGTAGAGAGTGGCTCATGCCTCTAATCTCGGTGCTTTAGGAGTCTGAGGTGGGAGGATCACTTGAGGCCTGGAGTTTGAGACCAGCCTGAGCAACATCTCTTTCAAAATTAAAAGAAAAAAAAGTAGCCAGGCATGGTGGCACATGCCTGTATACCTAGCTACTTGGGAGGCTGAGGCTAAGGAGGATCCCTTAGCCCAGGAGTTCCAGGCTGCAGTGAACTACGATTGTGCCACTGCACTCCAGCTGGGGCAACAGGGAGATACTCTGTCTCTTTAAAAAAGAGTGGTTACTAGATGGAAAGAGTAAATTCTAGTAGTGTTACCTTGCCCTGTAGGGTGACTAGTTAACGGTAATTTTTTATTTTTATTTTTTATATAGCTAATTCAATACAAATGAAAAGTGTTTGAGGTGATGCATATGCTATTTTGTTTTTTTTAATCCCTGTATGTTGTATTGGAATTTACAGTGTACCCCATAATAACAGAGGAATATTTACAGTATCTATTTGGTTAAATGTTATTCAGCAGTTCTGGCCTGCTGCCTTTTTTTGTATGACCTGTGGGCCAAGAATGGTTTTTACATTTTTAAATAGTTGAGCAAAAATCAATAGAATAATATTTTCTAGTATATAAAATCAGATGAAATTTCAATTTTAGTGTTCATAAATAAAGCTTTATGAGAGCATAGCCATGCTTAATTGTCTTGAGGCTGCTTTCAGCCTACAACAAAAGAATTGAGTAGAACTGAGAATGTATGGTCTTCAAAGTCTAAAATAATTACTACATAGTCCTTTTTAGAAAAGTGCCTTCTGGAAGATGATACTTAATGATCATTTCAGGCCAGTTTCTATAATGTGCACTACACAGTTGAGCGACCACTTGCAAGGTTTTTAATGTGAGCAGGGATAGTGGAGGTGATGAATGTAGGTAAGGAGAGGAAATGAGAATGAAGACTTTCAGGGGCAAGAGATGGTGGTGTCGTTTTGTGTTGTGTTCCTGAGTCAGGTACCAACAGATTTCCTCAGAGAAGAATATAAATGCTATCAAGTTAAACTGTATGTTGTATACATTCAGCCCTTGGTAATAAGGGAAATGATGAGTTGAAATGTTCTTGTACCTCACTAGCAGCAGAGAAAGGGTGCTGGATATTTCTGTTTCTGATAATGCTGCATAGATAGTGCCACTTAAATGTAGAGCAAAATTACAGTCTCCTCTAATTCCTCCAATTACCGTGTATCCTAGATTCTGATACCTGTCCAATACAATTTCTAGAACTTTTTGATCTCCCCATCATGTCTGCCTTCTAGTGCCCCAAAATGATGTGAGCTGCTAGAAGTTGTTTGACCTGTGATTGTTCTTGCTTCCTTGGTCCTTATACACGAGTAGAGTATATAGCATGAGTGGGCCATAATCCATCTTTTGAGCTCTTTTAGTAAAGTAGGTTTTGAGATAATACCTAAGACCCCATGGAAATTTGGTTGGTCTAAGTAGAGGACAAGCACATGTTTAACTACTTTTGGTAGGGGAAAAAGTGAAGTGGGAGAGCTTACCAGTGCTATCTGTGTGTAGGCTAACACTCTCAAACTTCACAGTCTCCAGGAATCTCCATATGTTGGCACTATTTTGTTGATTATTTTTCTTTAAGGTTATATTTCTTTGGAAGATCAGTAAACTTGCTGTTTTAACCCAAATTCAGTGTAGTCTTCAGCTTCTGAATAAGGAATAAAAGTATTGAATGTGCTTTGGATGTTCTTTTAACAACTTCAGAATGTTGGCATGCCCGTTGAGCATCTAAACTTCCCTCAGCGAATTGGTATTTATTTATTTATTTAGAGAGAGAGTCTCACTCTTGTCGCCCAGGCTGGAGCGCAGTGGTGTGATCTCGGCCCACTGCAGCCTCTGCCTGCCAGGTTCAAGCGATTCTCCTGCCTCAGCCTCCCGAGTCGCAGGGACCATAGGCATGTGCCACCACAACACTCAGCTAATCTTTTGTATTTTTAGTAGAGATGGGGTTTCACCATGTAAGCCAGGCTGGCCGCAAAGCTCCTGGCCTCAGGTGATCCACCCGCCTCGGCCTCCCAAAGTGCTGGGATTACAGGCGTGGCCACCACGCCCGGCATGGTATTTATGATTCTAAGTGCTATTTCAAAAATCTGTTTGCTCTTTTTTATCCTCGGGTCCACTAAAGAGTAATCTTTACTGTGGGGTTTGTTTCATATTTTTATTTGTTCTAATACTAAGTAGTAGCTTCTCATGTCTCTATTTCTTGATTTTGGAGAGCAAGTCTGTGCTTATCTGTAGAAATAATCAGTTTATAAACTTATGTTCTCCTTGAAGAGTTTTTGAATTTTCATGTGGAAACTTATTTTTCTGTTCACATTCTTGACAGAGTAGACCCTCCCAGGTCATCTGCACTTCTGATATCTTTTGAAAGTGAAATAACACCATTAATAAAAAGTTCAGCTATATGATTAAGCTGTCACTTAATATTAGTATATTTTCTATTTCAATAACAAGGTGATCTGATTTTGTACAAAGTGTAATTAATGTAATTCAGTCTGCCCAAACTTTGGTGCTTCCTTTTCATTGAATTCATATATCAAAATAAAAATATGCAATACTAGAAAATACGGCCGTTCATAGCCATGAAGTCTTACTGGCTAATAAAAATACCGACTTTAGTTTCTAATCATCCTGCACATAGCTGCCTGACATTTTTAAGAATTTTGTTGGTTTCTGAGATTCTCAATTCTCTTACACCTGATCAAATAGGATTTGGGTCTTTTTTCAAAATGTGTAATACATTTATGCTTTAAAAAGTAGAGACACGTTTAGTGAGTGTCCATGCCCACTTTTCATTTCTGAGGTCAGAGCTTTATGATGTCCAGAAATAACGAATACAAGAGTATTGTTCTTATAAATAAGAAAATATTATTTGTCCCTAATTCTGTAGTTTTCACTCTCAAATGCAGGGTTTTTGTTTTTGTTTTGTTTTTTTGCATTAACAGTAACCCCCAAGAAAAGCATCAGGGTTTGAGAGACACAGCACAAGGCCTTTATTTCATCATGCTTTTGCTGTGGATGTAGTGTAGCTTGTTGAACAGGTATGGAAGGTGATTTTGCTGTTAAGTACTTCTCCAGTTTGTTTATCAACCTGCAGCTAACAGGATGTCTGCTTTTTTACAGGTTTATTTCACAGAGCAGTGTACATTCTTGTCTTCCAGGGGAACTTCAACATGGAGTTACCTTTGATCCCTCAGTTTTAATTCAGTGTCTAAAGGTTTACAAGTTCAACTTACTCTATTTTATTCAGCTCTTTCACTTATTCTGCCATCACTTCCTACTTTAATCTGAGTTTTAGCTACTGTAGAAATCCCAGACCTTTCCTTTTTAGTACTATTAGCCAGGTAAAACTTTGGTTCTTGTGAGTGATAAGGATGAGTTTTTAGGACAGTATTCAAAGCCTTTTTAAAGGAACCAACTACTCAAATGCTCTAGAATGCCAAAAATGTAATACTCTTGCAAGTTTTTCCAAGCAAGGCCAAAACAATCAAAATCTGACAGAAAAACACAGCTTTTCAGCTCTGGAGTCTGGTGATAGTTACTTCAATGTCAGGACATCCTTCTAAACTTCCACTTACAGTGTCACATATACGCATAAAGGCTGGCCTGTTGGTAAGCCATTACTTTTATTTTTAGGAAGACAGTTATGAATGCCATGGACAATTTCAGTACATGTTTGTTTGTTATGATTTTATTCACGCTAAAGGAATGGGTTATTAAAATTAAGTGCAGATAATATATAATTCAGTTTCAAGTCTGAAGTTAGCATAAATTTAGATTCTTCAGACTAAATTTAAACATAAAACATGATTTTGAGAAGTTAAATAGGAAGATGCCTTTTTAAAACGTTTAGCATATTTATTTTATCTCCCAAATCTTGCTTAGAAATCAAATGTGTATAAGAGAAGTTAGTTACAGAGCTAGATTGATTAACTACTTCTTTAATGAAGATTTGCTATGAATTTGTTTACTCTTTCATACCACCCTCAGATAGCTAGTCAGTTCAGCAGGAGCAGAGACCAGGTGAGCACGCGGACGGGGTGTAATTCAGTGTTTTTGTGTTGTACAGCCTGAGGAATGCCAGTGGCCTGACAGCAGCAGACATTGCACAAACCCAGGGTTTCCAAGAGTGTGCCCAGTTTCTCTTGAACCTCCAGAATTGTCATCTGAACCATTTCTATAACAATGGCATCTTAAATGGGGGTCATCAGAATGTATTTCCTAATCATATTAGTGTGGGAACAAATCGAAAGAGATGCTTGGAAGACTCAGAAGCCTTTGGAGTAAAGAAAGCTAGAACTGAAGGTGAGACCACTTTGTGGGTGGGAAGAGCACACTTATTTTTCCTTTCTTTAATATGTTTTCTTTTTATGGCTGAACGCACCTTCGAGATGAGACCTTCACTTCAGGTGGTAATGTGCCTGGTGGATTGTGCGGTGACGGTGGAGATTTCTCCTGTACTGCCACTGCGAAGATGGGACACTTAACAAAAGGGGATGTGAGGGAAATACAGCCCAAGTGTAAATGTCTGTGTGGAACTTTTTGAGCACCCATGTTTACCTGCCGTGAATTAGATTTTTTAATCTGTTGTATCTGTTCGAAATATATCTATTAAAGAAAATCTGCCACTGTGCCTGATTTTTTTTATTTTTTATAATTTGTTTCTTGTAAATGTTCCTGGGCTTATAAAAATTGCTGATGGTCCGGCAGTAAAACATTTTCACATTCGGGAAGGTAAATGTTTTCTGTACTATTTCTGTACTATGATTTGACCTCAGCTGGTCTCTGTACCCCACATGGTAATACATGTTCATTTATCACAGTAAGATCTGGTGTATAATTTGATCTTGAGGATTTAAGTCCCTAAGGTAAGTTATTTTCATTGTAAGTATTTTTCCACCCTTTTTTAAAAAGATAGTCTTGCTCTGTGACCCAGGCTGGAGCGCAATGGTGTGATCTCAGCTCACTGCAATCTCCGCCTCCTGGGTTAAAGCAATTCTCCTGTCTCGCCTCCCAAGTAGCTGGGATTACAGGTGCATGCTATCACGCTGGGCTAATTTGTATTTTAAGGTATGTTTGAGTTTGCAAATAAGCAGCCAGCCAATCACTCTTGAAGTTGAAAACATCTCCCTTTCCTATAGGAAAATCATCTGTATCTATAAGATGTCTTAGGCCAGTTGTCATGGCTCATACCTGTAATCCCAGCACTTGGGAGGCTGAGGCAGAAGGATTATTTGAACTCAGGAGTTTGAGACCAGCCTGGGCAACATAGTGAGACCATGTCTCTTTAAAAAAAAAAAAGTCTTAATAAGGTAAATGTGACAGCTTGGCAGGCGTATTTAGTGGACATGGAAAGGGAGAGGTGGGAGTGTAAAGTAATGAACCAGATTGTGAGCTCAGATTTGCTGAGGATAAGCAGTTTTGCCTGTTGGTTTTAAAAAAAATCAACTGTACAAGTTATAGCATAAGAAAAACTGAGTGACTATCAGTTAAGCACTTAAAAATGTAGAGGTCTTGGTTAACTTTAAATTTCATGAACCAATATCATCTTTTCTACCTTATTTTAATGAGTGTGTCCAAGTGAAACATTTTTTTCCCTATAAAGTTGATAAAATGTCAGTATTATGTACTTCACAACTATTTAAATCTTGTCACCATAAAAATTCCTGTGATAAGACTTTTTGTAGTAATGTATAAACTTAACAGTTTTATAAAATTCAAGATTTTTATGAGTTAAGCATTTCCAGAAAGATGCTAAAATCGTAAGCATGACATGAAGATCTGCGTTAAATTCAAAATGGTCTTTTTTAATGGTGATGTATTCAGCATTGTCATTTATTTGTACCATGTTTTAACATATTTTTTCTAATGTGTTTTCAAAGCCTTTTAAAGAGCATCCACTTTTTTAAAAAATCCTTTGTCATTTCATTTAAAGCCTGGTTAATATTGTAGAGTGGCCTTGTGCCCTCATGCACGAATTGTACATGTCTGTCCGTGTATGTCACTGTATAGTCCAAATGTCCTTGAAAAATGATTTATGCTTCATTTTCTTATTGCTGATAAATCTTAAATTCTGTTAGATCACTTAACATGCTAATTGGACTCAAAATGCACCTAGAAGAGTTTGTAAAACTAGTCTCAGGGTTTCTAAGGTCAGTTGAATTGGCCAGTACCACGTTGCTTAATTACCCTGAAAAGCATTTCTGAGGATTCCTTGTTTCCTAATCCTCGATAACTACATACATTTGGTTTAAAGAGTCCTGCTGATTTCCGGGGATTTAATTTTCTTCCTTTAGAAGGAGGATTTGTTTTGGTTGACCAGTGATTAGAAGTTCACATTTTGTACATTAAACTCGCCATGCGGCCTTCCCAGACCATACATTCCTGGTCCTAAGCCTGAGGGTGCTAATTTAGACAAACATAGGGTTGGAGCCGGCACTTCTGCTTCAGTGTTGCAGGTAATCCGCAGACCTAACAGGTTGAGCCACTGTTCCAGGTACACAGGACATGACTGATGTTTCTGTGATTATCACAGTAGAAATATTTCAGCCAACATGCACATTACTTTAAAGCCGCTCATCTCTGGTTTTCCTAATTTGCATACTGACTGTGACTTGACTGATTTCCTGGAACTTCTAATGGTTCTGTCTTTTATGTAGTTGACAGTCCTTCGATTTGCCCCGCACGTCACAAGTGTGTGTTGTGTATATTTTTTTATTTTGTGTTTGTGTGAGTAGAGATGGGCATCTTCAGCTTACCCACACTCCCACCACTCTTTTCCCTGTGGGAAAAGGTGATTTTTCCCCCCCTTTTACATTGCATACTGAATGTGGTATGTTAGGTATTGGGAATCATTCTTGATCATTGAAACAGGATTTTTTTTCTCCCAATTACCTGAGTGTTCTGCATGAAATTGTTCTTGGTTTCAATAGATACATAATTATTTCCATTATTTGGCCAGTTTTTTAGTTTTGAATTAAAGATACATTGCTTTAGTTTTAATTGTAATTTCTGGCATCTTGTTTTGATTTTGTTTAAATGTGTGTGTTTTAAGTTTTGCTTAATCTGAATTACTAGGTTTTTGGTTCTCATGCCAGAGTTAAAAAAAAAAAAAAAAGATAAATTGTTTTTTCCTCATTTAACACATGCATATAAAATACTTTGAGTAACTTCACATATAAAAATATTTAGAAGAGTTTAAGCTGGGTTTTTTGTTTTGTTTGGCTTTAAAAACAAGTTACAGGTGCCAGGGATAATATCGTGGCTGCATAACTTTTACCAATAAAACGTAGTCTGTTCCGTTTTCCTAGAATTTAAGAGTTAACAAATATTGAGGCTGTTAGTGTGGAATTTATATTTACAAAAGTAATTACTTTAGAAAGTTTTCTCTCTTAAGGAGATCCCTGTAAAATTCACTCTTAAAAAAAAGCCAAAACACTTGTCTGAATGTTAACCACTCTTCCCCACAAAAAGTAGTATCTCTGCTTTTAGTAAACTACCTTCAAGTATTTTAAATTGGAGGAATTTTCTTTTGGAAACTGATCTAAAAGATCTCAAGTGAAGAATAAAGACTTGGCCTTTCGTATTGCTTGAATATTACCTGTCTTGGAAGTTATGCTACAAGAAGTCAGACTTTAACTTTCATAAAGTTATTTGCATCTGTATCAAATGCAGTTTAGTCAGAACATATAATAGGTGTAGACATGAACTCTGGAGGGTGAAATACAATCCACAGTTACTTAAGCAGTTTGTTTTGATGGAAAGTATCTTGGGATAATACTTTACCCAGTGTGGGATTTCGTTCATTTTAGATGGCGCAAGGAAGTATCAGTCTTTACATTTTTGTTTTCTGTTTATCAATCATTTGCTCTGATGGTATGACGCATGGGCGTCGGGATTCCAGCTGCACTGTATAAAACTGAGTTCAGGTTTGCTAGTGTTCTTGGTTAATCTTCAGGAATAACCCAATGCAATTATTTTTATATGTACTCCTTGGAAACTTGTCAAGTTTTTCAGTGATCCTGGTTAGAAAAGAATGCCAGTCCCTTCCATGAGTGAAAACTTCATTTTGCTGATTGATAATTGTTTTGGATGGAGCTCAAGAGTTGTGGGGAAGAAGTGGGGGGAACACAGTGTGAGTTTAAAAACTGACCCAGTAACTTCAGTTTCACAATTGGGACAACATTTGCCCCAGAAGTAGGCTGTGGTGACAGCAGATCTCAAGCGTTAAACTGACTTAACAGCTCGGTTTTAATCATAGGCATATTATTGATTGTAGAATCTCATTCATACTGTGAAGGTATTGAATATAAAAACACCTTACAGAAAGAAATATCTACAACCTGATGATATAGAGGTAAAGTTACTGGTGGAAAGTGTTAACACTTTCCCAGAATGGATTTAACCTGGATAAAGGATCTCTGCCTTTTGTCCTTAACTGTTCGTGTTGAACAGGGTTAAAGACTATTGGTAAAGGAGGGCAGATATGACCGGCTGGTTTGTTAAATGATAGATGGTAATTGCTTGAAACTTGAGAGGAAATAAAATGCCTCCCAGGGGTAAATTTGTAATTTAGTTCCTTGTAGTTTAGTTACATATTAGAGCACTGTAACTGCTGACATCCTTACTGTTTTCAAATTTGCAGTATATTTGTTTATAAAAATTTGGCCAGGATGATAGAACACACCTACCTAATTGTGTTCAAATAAGGAATGATTGTTTTTTGTTGATCCCTGAAGATGTGACGTCTTGAAATACAGTCTGAATTACTTCCAGTCCAGACAGTGTCTGCGTTTTCCACTGTTAAACGTCTCCATTTGAGCAAACTTAACGGGCCTGAGTTGTCCTCAGCACAGTTGTGGACACCCCAGTGGGAAGCAAAACCAAGACTGGCACACTTGATCACAAGCTGCTTTTGTATTTGAGCCAAACCTCCAGTCCGCCCTAGTCTGTCCAGAGCGCTCACTGCCTTCCTCTGTCCTTGGTTGCTGCTGCTTCCTGCTGCCTGGAGTCATCCCAGCCCTCTGCACTGCTGGAATCTGGGCCCTGGTGGGTCCCACAAAAGGTCACCTTGTAATAGAAAAACATTTTGGTTTTAACAGGACCTTAAAAAGTTGAGTAAAATGTGCTCTACAGCAGAACAAACAGTAGTTCCAGGTAATGACTGGTGGGAAACCGGGAAGGCAAAGCATCTTTCCTTGCTGCTTTAATGAGAGGACATTGAGGCTTCCCCAGCGGAAGCAACAGCAGGATGCACTCAGTTCAGTGGAAAGGCCACAGGCGGGAGGGGTCCTGGGCCTTTTGGCCACCATTCAAGGGTTGTGGGTCAACACCTGGGACCCACACAGCACCTAGAGGCACAGTAAAAGGTAGATTACAAGTCTAGGTCATGTTCTCAAGCTTCACCTAAGTTCATTGTGTGAAACTACTTGGCAGTTTTTGACTTGTAACATGTCTCCTGCTTTACTCTTGGGAAATATAACCAGTATGGCTCGGGTCTTGGGAGTAATGTCCTGTTGGCTGATTGGAGCCCCTATATCCCAAAATATGACTGTTCATAGAGTGCCTTTTTTTTTTTTTTAATGTAAGATTAAAGTTATGATCAGGCATTTTTCCTAAACCTTAGATGTATCTGCAGGCATGCCTGTCAGTTACAGTCCTGTTTCCCTGTGTGTGGGTATGAGTGGAGCCCCCGCAGTGTCTTCACCTGGCCAGCACTCCCACAAGCCTCTGTAGTGGCACGACCTTGATGTCCAGGTGCGTTACTTCTGTAATGCGGCAGACCTTCCCGAACTTGAAACTAAGACTTTTTTCATGGTTTCAAGCTGCTGGATCCTGAATAGCTCATAGTTGCAGTTACTGGGAACTGCCTTTAGGGGTTTTGTGCAACCCCCAAATTTCAGATGAAAATACAAATGCAGACTGTTTAGTTGCCCTGGGCATCAGCCCCAAGTGGAGCATCTCTGTGTGTCCCCCAGGGTCAGGAATGTGGGTTTCTCAGCCAGAGGCATGCTCTACTGGCTTTAGTTCTCACTTAGGAGGTCAGGCAGTGACCACACCTGGACATGGCTGTATTTGTGAGCAGGGAGGCTGGAGGTTTTGAGCTAGTCCTAGGTAGGTTTCCATCCTGAACGTTGTGTCTCAGGTGTACTAGAAGCCTGTCTTCCCAACAGACACCTGCTTTTACAGTCAAGTAAAGACCCTTTGTAAAAAGTGGTCTTGCTAACATTTTCAGAAATAATCATTGTTTAAGAGTCAATAGGAAGATAGGAAAGGATAGTGCTTCCTGAGTAAACTGATGACCTTGGAAGACATGTTTTTCTGAAATTGTACAGGCCACCTTTCTCAAATGCAAGATGTAATTGATTCCTTCAGCAGTGGCAACAGGTGTGTGGGAGCAAATGCCACAGTTGGCAGGGTCTTGGTTGTGGGAGGAAATGGGTCCAAATCCAATGTTCTTCAAATTTTGAGAGGCCAGTTTCAATTTTATGGCTTACAGCATAATTTAAAGAGAAAATTGCAGGCTTAGTATCTGTACCAGCCAATTGAGAACTTATGTATAGCTACTAGGAATGAAGGCGGCACTCATGAAACAGCATTACCCAAGGCTCTGGGACAGCTGGTTGTGGGAACTACACTGTATAGAGAGGCCATATCTATGGAGATAGAATGAAATTCTAGGGTGTCTGTTGGCATGATTCCCACAATCGGAATCTTGCTTGGTAAAAGATGGAAGCCTTTCATTCTTACCCTGTTTTGTTAGAGAAACCATCTGCATTAGTAAAAGATGCGGCTACTCAATGGAGCAGTTTCTGAGAGGTCCCTGGCCGCTGTGAGCCTTCTAGTTACAGGATGAATTGCTGGGAGCTAGTGTTTTGCCCGCTTTCTTTTCCCTGGGCTGCCCTTGGCGCGGCTCTAACGGCCGCCTAGTGGCGCCTCCTGCACCTGCACCTGGCACGGCCAGGCCTGCCTGGATGGTTGTGATTCCTCGGGTTGTATTACAGGCTGCGCCGGCTACTGATCATTTGTTTTTGTTTACCTTGTGTTTTTGTTTCTCCTGGCTAGTGAGTGGGCTTCATCTGTTGTGAGTACTATGCTAGGTACTGGACCTAGTGAAGAAGACAAACACCCCAGCTTTCGTGAAGCTCTTCTCTGTTGGGGTTTTCTAACCTGCTTTTCAGAGGTGTGAAATTGCAGGCAACCCCTAGTTGTCACTTTATCTGGGGAACATTGGCATCTGAATGCCAATTGAGTGTGTAGGTATTTTAAGCTGTCTGCATTGTATTCCCATCAAAGTCCACCCTTTTGTGCAAACCGTGTTCGTGGTTGGCTTTGCAGGATTGCAGCCTGTGGGAGGAGCGAACGCTGACCTGCTCTTGGCTGCAGGTTCTCCGTGTATGCATGCCATGAAGGCTCCTGGAGGTTGGGACGACTTTCGCACACTTGGGAGATCTGCTCTTCCACCACCCCACGATCCCTTTTTTTTTTTTTTTTTTTTTTAAGACGGAGTCTCACTCTGTCACGAGGCTGGAGTACAGTGGCATGATCTCAGCTCACTGCCACCTCCGCCTCCCGGGTTCTAGTGATTCTCCTGCCTCAGCCTACCAAGTAGCTGCGACTGCAGGCACTCGCCACCACACCCGGCTAATTTTTGTATTTTTAGTAGAGACGGGGTTTCAGCATGTTGGCCAGGATGGTCTTGATTGCTTGACCTCGTGATCCACCTGCCTCGGCCTCCCAAAATGCTGGGATTACAGGCATGAGCCACCACGCCCAGCCCTTTTTTTTTTCTTTTTTTCAAAAGATGCCCTGCTTACACACTGATCTCTTAAAAGTGCATGCCTGAGTCACAGTGAAAGTGGAGCCTGGCCTGTGGGAGATTTTTTAAAGCTTTGAGTAAGGACTAAAATCCACCATTTAATGCCTCTGGTTTTAAAGCACCTGTATTTTAAGAAGGCTTTTGGCCTCCTACCTATTCAGACTTCTGACTACCCCCAATCTCCCCAGCTACACAAATCACACTGCGCTGTTTCTCTCCCAGATACTAATTCAGAAATCGGGTTTCTCATCCTGTACATTAGCATCTTTGTAGAATAATCCAGATCTAGTATATACAGTATAATCAAAAATGAGTTGTGTGCCTCTAAAATTAGAGCTAATTCAAGCTGCAAAGTTCCGTTCTCCCTATTTTTAAATGTTTATATGAAAGAGGTATTTAGCACTGAAAGTTGCTATTTGTGGTGTGTATTCTTTGGCCCAGAAATAATTCTAAGTATCTGAGTTAACCAGAAATACACACAAAAATGCATTTATGAGTATGTTAATTGTGGTGTTCATGATAGGAAAGAAAAGGGCTAAGCAGCCCAGACAGCTGCAGGGAATTGGGTTAGGTGAATCGTAATACAGTCATAGGACAGAGGAGAGATTGTTTTGAAATTAACTGATACAACATTTATGCCATGGTAAATGAATAAAGCAACGTGTAACAGTGATTTGTTAGAATCCTTTTTGTTTAAAACACATTTTTAAACACTAGAAGCCGTTCAGACACGTGGAGCTGCTTGTAAGAAGTGAGTCTTGCTAGGATTCGGAGGCGGAGGTGCTTGTGCAGAATGTATCACATGGGGCATTCGCATCTCCACAGTGCAGAGGATGGTAATCTTGTAAGTGAAGTGCCCATGTAGCTTTAACTTCACATTTCTAACTCTTTCTGTATTTTGGTGTAATTATTTTACTGTATTTTGGTGCTCAGATCAAATGCCACTCTGGGATAGTGCTGACATACTAGTCTTGAGTCTCTCAGCCTTTACATTATTTTTTTGTTAATGGAAATAGTGGATTTTTTAAAAATCAGGATTGTTTTAATTGTATGTTAATTTAAGAATTGTCTTAGTATTTTTGTTTGTTTTTAAAGTCTACTGAATTTGAAAATGGAGTTTAGAATTGTTTCCAGGTTATATAACCACTTTATGTCCTCTAAATGGCCAGAAAATTAGAATTTTTGCCATCAAGTAAATCTGTAATAGGTATCTGAAATTCCATGACTTTAAAACACTGCACATGTCAATAAATTTTTTTGATTGTGGAAAAGTTTTTCAGTCGTGTGCTAAGCTCATTAGTGACCTGTCAATTTTTTTTTTATGTGATTGTTTAAAGTGTTCAGTGCCCACACAAAATAATGTAAACTGTGTGTCTGAACACGTATCTTGTTACGGACAAAGGAATCTGAAACAGTCTTTGTTTTCTGTGCAGCTCAAAGCTTGGATTCTGCCGTGCCACTCATGAATGGCGACACAGAAGACGATGCTGACAAAATGCACGTTGATAGGGAGTTTGCTGTTGTAACAGGTGGGAGTGGACAGTTTCCTGTTAGCTGCAACAACAATCCAATGGTCGAAGACACCAAACAGCAGGAGAGTGGTTCTGTTGGACCAAAAGAAATAGAAATATATACTGTGTCAGCAATGCAGACCCCGTGTCGTTGCAAGAATCAGTATGCGTATTATTTCTAACATGAGTTTTTCTCAGATGTTTTGCACTGTGTTGTCCAGTGTCTTTTTAAAAATGTTACACTATAATTTGCATATCTTGGGCAAGTTTGTAGATACAAGGATCAGTGTTTTGGGTATATTCTATGAACATGAAAAATGTAAGTGCAATCTTTCTATTCTGATTTGAAGCTGTTGCTTAATGTGCCTTGCTTATTTTTAATGAGGTTTGCATTTTTAATTTTCTGACATATGGCCTTTGGGTGAATATACCGAACATGCTACGGTTAATATTTTCAAACCAATATACTGCAAAGAGGACGACTAGCAGTAAACACTGAGAACTAGTCAGTGTGGTTCTGACTCCACCCGGTCACTCCAGCATGGAATCTTTTACCCAGGACTTGGTTGCTTTGGTTTCTGTGGTCTTCATTCTGAGTCTGTTAAAATGGTAAACACTGTGTTTCACAACACACATTTTATACATTAATGTTTTTAGTATATTAAAACAGTATTCCTATTTCCAATTTTTAAAAGGCAGAAGAAGCTCAGTTCTTATAGCATTTAGAATATCTAAAATGATTTGTCCATTTAGCTATTGCTTTTTTTCTGCTGCTCTTTTATTCAGGTAACTACAAAAACATTTTTATTTTTATTTTTTTTTTATTTTTTTATTTTTTTTTTTTTTTGAGACGGAGTCTCGCTCTGTCGCCCAGGCTGGAGTGCAGTGGCGTGATCTCAGCTCACTGCAAGCTCCGCCTCCCGGGTTCACGCCATTCTCCTGCCTCAGCCTCCCGAGTAGCTGGGACTACAGGCGCCCGCCACCTCGCCCGGCTAGTTGTTTGTATTTTTTAGTAGAGATGGGGTTTCACCGTGTTAGCCAGGATGGTCTCGATCTCCTGACCTCGTGATCCGCCCGTCTCGGCCTCCCAAAGTGCTGGGATTACAGGCTTGAGCCACCGCGCCCGGCCTACAAAAACATTTTTAGCCATTCTCTTAACATGTAAATATATTTAGAAGTAGATTTTTTTTTTTGAGTTATGTCTTTATGCAAAATTCATAACTGGGGATGAAAAAAAAAAAGAGTATGTATTTTGTTCCCAAACCCACATGAAAAAATCATTTCTGTTCACTAAAGTTAAAAGAAAATGTGTTCATCTTTCTGAAAGCTACAGAATTGCTGGGGTCACCTTTTTCCCAGTAGAGAAATTCAGATCAGTTAGTATATTTAAAATAATAGGTTTTCTGTAGTCAGGGACTATTTGACCTTAAAGATCCATAACAAAACTCAAATCCTGCGTTTTTTAAAAATGACCTTGCTACCTGCTTTTGAATTGGCAGAAGTGGCCACCCTTTATTCATCAGACATTAATTCTTTGTTAAACTATATCCAAGCTGGAACGTACTTTTGAAAAACCCAGCCCATCCCATTTACCAGATGCCAAGTACATACACCCCGTGTTTCCCGTCATTTGATTTATGACACTCTGACTGAATAAACAATGTGTTAAATCACTAGAGATTACTCGAGGTTTTCCTTATGGGACATGGCACTCCACGTCCACTAGAAGCTTGAGGGAGCTGCCTCCATAGTCCTTTGAGAATCAGACCAAAGGCTGCTCTCCTTTAAACACTTAAGTTCTAATTTTTGTTTGGCTAAAATTATTTCCAAAGAATACATTTTGGAACAACTATGTACAGCTATCTTTGCATTTTAAATGCCCCTAGTTTGAGACTCAGGGGAGGGTCAAGTGTCCTCACCCCTGGAAAGGACTCGGGTAGTAGGGTGCTTGCTTCTAAATCCCGATTTTCTCTATGGGATTGGCTGGAAGGGAAGTAGGATCTTGTCTGAAACCTCATCCCCAGCATTGTGTTTGGATGTTGGTGGGATCCGGGGGCTGGCCAGGCACACAGTGAGAAGGGAAGTGCGGGTCTTGGCCGGCAGCTGGGAGCAGAGGAAGGGAGAGCGTTGGAGGTTGTGATGTGTGTGCTGTGCCTCGGTGGGTCTGAGGTGCCCGCTGTTTTATGCTGTTTTATTAGATTCTCTGTAACAACATGAGCTTACCAACCAGCCTTGATTTGGAGATTAAATAATAGAACAGATTTAGTTTAACTGGGCACTGAAGTAAAATTCTACTTACTTTATTCTTAGTAAAAACTATACATACAATAAACAACTGTCAGGGTTGTTTATCATATTTGAGTTTTGTCACCTAGGAAAACATTGTTTATACTTTGTTTTTGAAAAAAATCGTATGAATTTCCCCTGGAAATAACTTGTTTTATTTCTGTTTTTATTTTCTATTTAGTCCTTGAAACAAATGTTTTCTAGTCTAGGATTTTAGCCAAATAGAAAAGCTATCACTTAATTTGGGGGAAAAAAAATCTATTGACCTATGAAGAATTTATAGCAATTACTAAAACTATGTTGCTTAAATATCCAAAAACTGGACAATTAATGGAATATTTAGATGTTTCCATTCACTGAACAAGCCGTGATCCTTTATTGGCAGGAAGACTTGCAGGACGTATCAGAAAGCTCTGTCAGAGGTACGCAGGCGGTGAGATGGAGGGAAGCCCTCCATGGGAAGAGTCGCGCAGTGTGTGACGTGTTAGGGTAATCGGATGTGTTTAAGCTGCGTCCTTATTCTAAAAGTTATTAGAACTGAGCTCTTCTAGATTTAATATCATGCTTTGCTTTGGTAGTGAAGAACATTGAGATAAAATCTAGTATTACCAAGTTAGAGATAATTTTAGATCATCCCTTATACTGTTATGTGAATTGTTGTGAACATGAATATTACTGATTCTCAAGTTCCAGTATACAGAAGAATGACTTGTCGTTGCCTGTCCTGGTGTGCCCAGATGTTCCGTGATGGACTCTTTATCCCATAAGACATCTCCCTCTTGATAGATGTCTGTATATGCAGATTAAACTATCAACATTTTTTCCAGCAAAGGTGGTTTTTGAAAGTAACCTAATGAAACCCTGGCTGCCATGGTCATTTTAATTGCTGGACTGAGAAGAAGCGACTACATGTTGTGCTGTTGGCCCAGGCCTGCAAGCGTGAGGACTGTTGGCAGTTACAGTTCCTCGCTGTGGTTGCCGGTTTCTCTGTATCCTGCCAGTGCTCTCATGTGGCATTTGGCAGAAGTACGACGTAGATTTCTGTGCTCCTGAAAAAAAATAAAAATAAAAACTTAGGGGTTCCTTTTAATAGCCCTGATTTGAGGCTCAGGGGAAGGGTCAACAGTCCCTACCTGATTTATGAGATTTTTTAAAAACCTCATGTGATGCTGTTGTACATAGTTCAAAGAGCTTCCTTAATTTGCTTAATTTACCTTTTTTTCCATTTTCGCTTGAGAACTAGAGAAGTTTGTGTTCTATTGGAACCCTCTGTAGAACACTTTACACTCAGTTCTGATGGACCTTTTCAGGGGCGATTTTTAAACCACTCTCGAAAGTAGTCTTAAAATGAGAGCACTTTATTGATGGCTTTTCAGGACTGTGTTGGTATTTTTCATGCAGTGTATTTGTCAGCTTACATTTTTCAGTTGAGCTACCCGATGCTACTGACATGCATGTGATTTTCCTATCTTACGCAAATACTACTGTTAACGTTTTAATATTAAGTCTACTTATGCACATTCATTTTACTTTGAAAAAAGAACTGGTTTAAAAGGGAAAAAAAACCCCAAAACTAAAATTCTTTAAAATTGTAATGGCAATGAAGCATTTTATAGTTTCTCCTCTCTCACTGGTTCTGAATTTTGGTGACAGGTGTATTTCTTAATGCAGATATGAAAAACAGTAGCTCCGTATCGAATACATTGACAAATGGATGTGTCATCAATGGACATTTGGACTTCCCCTCCACGACCCCGCTCAGTGGGATGGAAAGCAGGAATGGCCAGTGCTTGACAGGATCTAACGGAATTAGCAGTGGATTAGCCCCAGGACAGCCGTTTCCAAGTAGCCAGGGTTCTCTCTGCATTAGTGGGACTGAGGAGCCAGAGAAGACCCTGAGAGCTAACCCTGAGTTGTGCGGTTCTCTGCACCTGAACGGGAGTCCAAGTAGCTGTATAGCCAGTAGGCCTTCCTGGGTGGAAGACATTGGGGATAACCTGTACTACGGACACTACCACGGGTTTGGGGACACTGCCGAAAGCATCCCGGAACTGAACAGTGTGGTCGAGCATTCCAAGTCTGTGAAGGTGCAGGAGCGGTACGACAGTGCCGTGCTGGGCACCATGCACCTGCACCACGGCTCCTAGAGACACTGGCCTGGCTCTTGGAAATGCAGGAGTCCTTCCTGGTAGCCAGCTCAGAACACCGATGTAGCAGCAATTTGAACGAATGTCACAACTTGTACTATTTTTTTTTATACTTTAACTTTCTGAAAAAGTAAACTTCGACAAGTTCCCAGCGACTGCTTGCTTGTGCATGAGTAGGGCTTACTAAGTGCATAGATGTTTCTACAGTGAGGTGTCCTTTTTATAAGATGTACTTTTGGAGTTTTTCTGATGCCAGTCCCAACATTGTCTTTTTAATACTGTCACCAGATATTGCCGTTTTTCCTTTTGTTAAAACGTTATATGATCAAGATAAATTGGGGCGGTAAATGAGGTGCCTGGTAATTTATCTCTTTGCACATGGGCATCATTTTAAAAAGCTTTTGCTTCCACTGTTTTCTGTAGAATTTGACAGAACCCAACTATTTCCCTATGCAAGGTACAGCCTTACAAAGATTTCTGCAGTGATTTGTGTGAAGAAGAGAACGTTTGTCTTTTTCAGTGAAGCTTTGCAGATCACCATGTGGTTGAAGGTTTTAGTTGTAGACGGTGGTCCCTCCTTGGTGGAGATCACTGCCTTGGGCTTCATGAAAGCAGGCCCAGCCTGGGGCTGCGTTCTGATTCACTCTTTTTAATTCCACATTTCCTACTTGGTCTCTGGAAATTTTACCACACGTAACAGATTCCTTTATATGTAGTGGAAGTTACTATTTGTAGGAACTGTCAGGTCAAAGTATTTAACTGACTTTTGACATGTATTTTCTTTTTTCCTTGTTTTTGTTTTTTGGGGTTTTCTGCTTTAAGATATATACCACTATGTATATCCAGTTAACTGAGAGAATTTTTACTCTCTTCATAAAACTGCATTAAGTTTTTGATTTTGTAGAACTTAGCTTTGGTCTAGGCAACTAGTGGTTATACTGTGCAAATATTGTAATGAATTTTTACTTTTTTGATTTTTGTAATAAAAATTGGTGCAGATAGAGAAAATGTCAAACGAACAAACCAGTGTTCTAAGAGTGTTACTAACATTTTGTTTTGAAACTGTCCTTCACAAATTGAATAAAAAACTCTCACACACTCAGTTTGTCCCTGGGGTTTCTCTCCGGGCTTGGGGGCCAGCAGGGTGTGGATACCTGTGGAAGGAATGGGAAGGGAGGAGGAGTTGACTATTGTTTCCTTTTGCTTATAAGATTTTACTTGACTCTTCTGACACTCTTCATAGGGTGTTTTTTCCCATTTTTGAGTTTCTACTCTAGTTTTATGGGCCCTGTTGGTGCTGAGCCTCTGTGGAGGAAGGATGAATTGCATGTCAGTTCAGCATCATGCCTGGGTGCTTATTTTCATAAAAGACAACAACCATCATGTTCTAAACTTCTTTGGTTTTAGCAAGTGTTCATTAATGTAAGCCTTTTAGGAATATGAATTACAGTTATAAATAGCACCAAAATAGCCATTCTGGCACGCCTACCTATGTTATTTAAAACATTCAATACATCATGCATATTCTTGTAAAAACTTAATAGACCACAATGAGAGAGCATTACGCTTTGGTAGTTTCGCAAAAATTACAGTGAGAACAGGAGGAGAATGCATAGTGCTGTCCAGGCCACCGCCCCCATCCTATGGCAGACACTAGTAACCAACCTTACAACTGAGATTTGGCCTCAGACTGATCCAAGAAGCCACCCAAACTACTGAGTTTTTAAGAGATGAAACTTGATGCCGTCCCGTTTGGACTGTTTTCTAAGGTATTGCAGATATTCTATAGTGAGTTAATTTGCTGAAAAACGTTAAGTGAATCTCTGAAAACACACTAAATATACTTTTGATTAGTCTTGAATTTTTGGACAGAATATGACTGCTTAGGAACAAAAATATTGCACAGAACCTAAAGTAGGGCAACATCCACACACGAGTGGATGACTGAAGTAGTTTGTCATATTCTAGTTTAGAGTCATTTACACTAGTATATTCAGTTCTTATTTAGCGATACATAAGGAAATGGTGATCATGGAATTAATACTATGCCTGGAATTTGCTTCAAAATATAAAAATATGAGTGGAGCCCATGCTCCCTGGTGAGTGGAGACAAGGATCAAACACAGTTGGTGCGAGCTGATGTTAAAGCTGGGTAGTGGGTATGTAGAGGTGCATTAGTCTGTCTACTTTGTATTTATTTGAGACAAGTGTTTTTGGGGTATTTTTAGGACTTGAAAGAAAAATGCTGTATTAAAAAATATGGTTGTCATTTTAACATTGAGAATAAGTTTAGGTTTTTCTGTGTCCACCAGAATTGACGTTTATACTGAAAGGATAGCTCCCTGAGTCTTAGCCTTTTTGGCCTGAAGATACTTTCCCATGCATGCATTCGTTTGTTCTAGTAGAAACAATTGGAATATGAAATAAAACCCATTTACAGTGACACCCGAACCATAGCATACCTAGGAAATTATCTTAAGATGTTCAAGACCTCTACACTGAAAACTATAAAACATTACTTGGAGATAGAATACCTAAATAAATTTTTGGTTGAAGTATGTGGAGAAAATCTGGCCTTACACAGATAGGTAATTGCAAAAAGGGATATTTGACTCCTCTTTGCAGTTAATTGTGAGTGCTTGATGCCACGCCCAAACTCTGTAGTGGTCGTGGGGCAGGAGAATAGGAAGTTAGGGTAACCAAGCGCTAAGGCATAAGCAAAAGAACAGCAGGTACAGCCAGTTCTAGGCGAGATGAGGCAGCACTCAGGCCACAGTCTCCTACCTGTGATAAGACAGTCTCTGCTTCAGCCTGATTGGTTGCAAGCCAATCTGTCATAGGATGCAGCCAATTGGAGGCCTCTAAAGGGCACCTAGGGGTGTTAGTTACCAAATTCTTTAGCTTAGTGACTCTTGAGCCTGGCTCAAGTTGGCTCCCATTCTGTGGAGTGTACTTTTGCTACAATAAATCTGCGCTTTTTTTGCTTCTTTCGTTGTTTCCTTCTTTTATTGCTTTGTGTGTTTATTCAACTGCACCAGGAACTTGGACAACTCGCAGTCAAGACCTTCAGTCCAGTAACAGTAGTTTCTTAAAGGCCAGTTGCAATGTTGAATCAGGACCCACATCAGTGAGCTTCTTGTATCAGGTTGCAGTAGAGTCCATCTATCTTTCACTTAGAAAGGACCTTTAACCCATGCGTAATTTTGTAACTTTATGCATTATTTGCTTGGGAAAGATCTTTTAACTGACTTCTGCAAGTCTTTCAAGTGTTGAAACTTTCATTAATATGAAAACATTGATCACCGGCCAGGCACAGTGGCTCACGCCTGTAATCCCAGCACTTTGGGAGGCCGAGGCGGGCGGATGATGAGGTCAGGAGATAGAGACCATCCTGGCTAACACGGTGAAACCCCATTTCTACTAAAAATAAAAAAAAAAATAGCTGGGTGTGGTGGCACGCACCTGTAATCCCAGCTACTTGGGAGGCTGAGGCAGGAGAATCACTTGAACCCGGGAGGCAGAGGTTGCAGTAAGCCGAGATCACGCCACTGCACTCCAAACTGGGTGACAGAGCAAGACTCCATCTCTAAAAATAAATAAAACATTGATCACCAATAATCTCAGGAAAGTCAAAAGTTGGAAATTGTCAAGCACATGGTACTGGATATAAGTTTTACAACATTCTGACTTACGCTGAAAAACTCAAATTTTATCACTGGACACAAATACTGTCAGTTTTCCTTGAAGTAGAAGGTTCACTGGGTTAATTTCTTTGTTTTTTTTTTTTTTTTTTAAGTGGAGGCAGGGTCTCACTCTGTCGCACAAGCTGGAGTGCAGTGATGTGATTTTGGCTCCTTGCAGCCTTGACCTCTTGGGCTCAAGGGATCCTCCTGACTCAGCCTTGAAGGTAGCTGGGACTACAGTAGTGCACCGCCATGCCCAGCTAATTTTTTTTTTTTTTTTTTTTTTTTTGACATGGGGTCTCACTATTTTACCCAGGCTGTCTCGAACTCCTGACCTCAAGCAATCCTCCCACCCTGGCCTCCTAAAGTGCAGGGATTACAGGCTTGAGCCATTGCATTATAACCTTGTTATTTTTTTAAAAAATCACATAGCTTGTCAATCATTATTTCAAATGAAAATGACGTTTCTGAAAAAGCAACTGGATACACTTATCGCACAATCAGCCAGAGATGTGCTTTTCCTGGAGACAACCGTACACAACAAATCCTTTACGCACACTTTCTTTACATCACACAGAATGCGTGCTGTCAAAATTTACTCATTTTTGCTGCATTGAGGGCATTCTTAAATGAAATTGACTTTTTTTCTTTTTTTGACTGCACAGCAGTGAAGAATATAAAGGTGACCAGGTCGGGGCCGTTTTTGCTAAGGTGCTAGTAGCTTTACCCACAGTTTCTTTTGAACCCTCACAGTGCAGATGTCAACACTGAAAAAGGCAAGTCACATCTTGGTAATGAGACCGTTTTGATCTTGGGGACCCCTGAAATGGGGTCCTGGGGACCCCGGGGTTCTGCAGGCCACAGTGAGAGAAGTGCTGGAATGTTTCGAATGATGAGATCTAAGCAACTAGTGATAAATACTGGAAAATGTAGACTGGGTATTCATTGAATTACCCTTTTTGACTTTTCCATAGGTTGGGTTTTTGGGGTTTTATTAAGGACGAGAAAAAGGTAGAATAATTTCGAGACAGAACGTGGGAAACATTGAAGAGTTTCCCGGAAAAAGGCGAGTCAAGAAACAGGCAGCGGGTGGAAGGGGAGGAGCCATCGGGAGGGCGGGAACCGGGGGAGGGGCGCAGGTGCCGGTGGAGGGGGCTGAGCCGGGCGGTTCCAGCGCAGCTCTGCTTGGGGGAACCGCAGCCGGGGTTGGGGCGAATGGGGGTCCCGGGGCAGTGGGAGGGTAGTGGGGGCTGCGGCAGGGCAGGGCTGGAGCTGGGAGCTGTAGGTAGACACCACCCCAAGTGTCTGCACTGAGCAACGTGAACAGTGACCCCGGACACAGCTGCAGCCAGGGAGACCCTGAGCGTGCGAGTGTGTGATGATGCGTATCAGTGTGTGCAAATGCATGAGTGAGCATGAGGATGTGTGTCCGTGTATGAATGTGAGTGTGCCAATGTGTGCAAGGACTGTGGGGGTTTGAGAGTGTCAGTGTGGGAATGTGGGGGGAATGTGGAGGGAAGTGTGTCGGGAATGTGTGAGTGTGCAGATGCGTGTATGGGAATGTGAAGGGAAGTGTGAGTGTTGTGAGTGGGAACCTGGTGTGTGTGAATGTGTGAATGTGTGAATGTTTATATGTGAATGTACGTGATGTGTGTGGATGTGGATGTGGTGCACGTGTGAATGCTGATTTGTGTGACGTGTGCGCAGATGTGTATGTGTGATGCATGTGGATGTGTGTAAATGTGTGTGGCTGCTGTTCATGTGTAAATGCTGTGTGTGACGTTTATGAATGCATGTGTGCAGATGTGAATGTTTTATATGTGTGGCTGGTGTGCATGAGTGGTTGTAGTGAGACTTGTGTTATGTGTGTGCACGTGTGAACATGTGTGTGACGTGCATGTGTGGATGTGAATGCTGCATGTGGGTGTTGTGTCGAGGTGTGGGCATGTGTGCGAGTGTGACGTGTATCTGTGGATGTGTGTGAACGCAGGTATGTGAATGTGTGACTTGTGTATGTGTGGATAAACGTGTGTGCGTGGGTGAATGTTACGTGTGTGACATGTGGGTGTGGATGTGTGAATGTATGCACTTGTGTTAATGTGTGACTTGTACATGTGTGGATGAATGTGCATGTGTGAATGTGACTTGTGTGGGTACGGATGTATGCACTTGTGTGAATGTCGTGTGACTTGTACATGTGTGGATGAATGTGTGTGCGTGTGTGAACGTGTGACTTGTGTGGGTGTGAATGTATGCATGTGTGTGAATGTTATGTGTGTGATGCGCAGATCTGGAGAATGGATGGAAGAGCAGGCGCTTGGGGAGGGGGGAGGATCAGAAGCCATGGGGAAGGGTGGAGGGAGGGGCCGTGGGGGAGGGGAGAGGCAGAGAGGCCATCAGGGAGGGGAGGCCGGGGTGGGGGGCACCTGCACACCATGAAGAGGCCCCTGAGGGCAGCTCGGCCTCCTGTTGGGGGGCAGGAGGGAAGGGCCAGGGTGGGCTCCGGCGGGAAGGCCCAGGCAGTGCAGAATCATGGGGCTCAGGGGCCCTGCTGGGGCCCGCTCAGGAGCCTAGGGGCCTTAGGTCTCAGGAGATGGGCAGGGGAGATGGGGCCGGAAAGGGGCCATGAGGACAGAATGGGTTCGGAATCGGAGTCTGCCGGGCAGGAGTCGCTGGGAAGGTGGGCATCTCAAGCCCTGGAGAAGCTTCCACTCCGCGGAAAGAGGAGAGGACTGCAGCTCCTGGGTGTCTGGGGCAGGACGTGGATGGGGTCACATTTTTCTCTGTTGGGAATAGCACGTGCGAGGCGTGCGCTCGGGCTTTGAAGGTTGCAGGGTGGGGAAGGGAGGCCGGTGAAGCGCTGAAACCATCCCTGAGGGGCTCTGAGTGACCACTTTGTGGTCAATCCACAGGGAGAGCTGAGGACGAGGCGGAGGCCCCACAGGTGAGGGCCAGGTGAAAAGTCCTACAGCTGCTGCGTGGCTGAGCCTGGTGGGTGGGCAGGCAGGGAAGGGGTGGGCAGAGGGAGGGGCGCCATGGGTCCCCCAATTCTCTGGGCATTCAGCAGAAAAACCGGCAGGGCTAAGCCAGGGAAGCTGAACTAGAAGTTTCTAACCTGCACAAGCAGAGCCACACAGGTCAAGAGGACTCTGGGAGGTCCCAGGGCTCCGGGAAGTGCAGGCTTGGGAAAGGGGTCTCCACCGGGAGTTCAGGCCTCATCCCAGTAATGGTCGCAGCCCCCGCATGACCAAGTGCCCCAGTACCTGGGCGGGTCCGCAGTGCGGCAAAGAGGGGTGTGTGCCTCTTCCGCAAGGTCTGGCAGAGGCTGGGGGGTGGGTACCCGCCCAGTACCTGTGCTGAAAGGTCACCTCGAAGGGGTCCCCGGGACATGACCAGGGCTGCAGAGTCCCCAAGGTTAGAGCTGGTCAGTGCAGCACGGGGCATCCCCCTCAAAACACAGCACTGACAGCAGCAGCAGAGCATTCAGCTTTGAGGCAGGACATCCCACCCGGGGAGAAGCCCCTTCCTCGGGCTCACGTTCTCGTGAGATCGTAGTGCAGTGTCAGCCAGGGCTGCAGTCTCATCTGAAAGCTCCCCTGGAGCCTCTGCATCCAAGCTCATGCCCATGGCTGGTGACTGGACCCAGTTCCCTCCTGCTCCCCCAGGTCACTGAACTGAGGGCCTGAGTTCTTTGATGGTTATTGGCCTAAGGCCACCCTAGCTCCATGCAGGGAAGGGCAAGGGCCTCTCCACCAAGCACCCTGAAGAGTGCTCACCCACGGCAGGTAGAGGCAGGAGGGCTGGGGAAGGGCAGAGGACACATCGGGTGTTTCATTTTATTGCCTTTTTTGTTTTCAAACCGAAAGATCTGAAGCCAGTTTTCTTAAGAACATTCAGCAAGTTTTCTTAAGAACAAAATAAAAAAGACAAACTAGAACAGTCCTGCTTGGCTTATCTTGGCCTCACCTTAACCCTCCCTTTCCTGCCATCTTTCTATGGCTCCCCTCTGCCAGGTGCCCCCTGAACTTTAAGATTCCAGGACAGTTTGAGAACTACTTCGATTTTTCTGTTTTCCCATTTATGAAGGCCACTGTGCTCTCACCAGGGAATTCAATTACAAGGTTTTTAGAAACAAAAATTGCAATTCAGATGCATCAGTGAATCAGTCCTATTCCCTGTCTGCTAAAGGATGTCTTTTCATTACCATCATCTACTGTAGGGCTTTTCTGACAGTTCATATAATTCAAGATAATTGAAGCCAACTTTGCAAGCAAAACGACAGGAATCACTACATGAAACAGCACATTAAGTCTCTGATTCATAACAACGGCACTATTTCCGTAGTGGTTTTAAAATTCTCTCGGCTGGGCGTAGTGGCTCACGCCTATAATCCCAGCACTTTGGGAGTCTGGGATGGGCAGATTGTTTGAGCTCAGGGGTTCAAGACCAGCCTGGGCAACAACGTGAGACCTTGTCTCTACAAAAAATACAAAAATTAGCTGGGCTTGGTGGCGCATGCCTGTAGTCCCGGCTACTTGGGAGACTGAGGTGTGTCAATTGAGAAAAATGACAAGACAAGTCTCAATCATTTTAGGAGGTTTATTTGCCAAAGTTGAGGACGAACACCCGGGAAACAGTCTGTACCTTTCTCCGAAGATGATTTTGAGGGCTCCAAATTTAAAGAGGAAAGGGTGGGATAATGACAAGTACACAATTTTCATGTAAGAGGCAGGTAGAGAAAAATAGTCACGCCTTTGGCTCATTGAATCTGCATTATTTCTACACAAGATAACGTCTTATTTAGGGACCAAAAGGGGAGGCAGGTTTGCACGACCCAGTTCCCAGCTTGACTTTTCCCTCTGGCTTGAGTTTGGGGGCCCGAGATTTATTTTCCCTTCACAGGTGGGAGGATGGTGTAAGCCTGGGAGGCAGGGCTGCAGGGAGCCAAGATCGTGCCACTGCACTCCAGCCTGGGTGACAGAGTGAGATCCTGTCTCAAACAAAACAAAACAAAACAAAAAACCTCTCTCTGGGAGAGGGAGGGACTGTGAAAGCAACCGAGGAAACAGGCAGCTTTCATTCCCAGCAGCGTGGGATCCTCGCCCAAGGCCGGGAAAACACAGGAGTGAAATGACAGCTATAGAAGTACACTCCACAGGCTGCACAAAAAGAACAAAAACAGTGCTACACACACCAGTAAGCAACGGCACTGGCATGCTCCACCTCCTGTGGGCAGCCTGGGGATGAGGTCATTTTCCAAAATAGGGAGCTGGTCAGCATTTTCCATGCCCAGGGCAAGTTCCCCTTGATGGGCAGCGCCTAACGACCAGCGCTGAGTCAGTCTAGGAGCAGAAAGACTGGAAACCCTGGAGCAGGAGCCACGTCAGCGTGACTCAAGCAATGGCAAGTTTTCACAGCAACAACATGAAACGCCCAACAGGGTGATGACTATGGGAGGAAGACGGACCGGAACCTGGATAGTGCGTGCACTGCACACCCTCCTGGTTAACAGCCCCACGCCCCGAGAGCTGTTCTTTACACAAATTTCTTCTGTTAAAGCAGCTGGTGTGGCTTCTGCAGCCTGGTGGAGCCAACACGTGCCTGTCACGGAGGTGAGGAGTGGGTGCCCACCAGCATTTCATGCTGACCTTCCAGAAACACGGTGTCCCTCAGAGCCTTCAGCCTGCAGGACAGAGCCACCCCTGGTCGTTCTGTTGGAATTTCGGCGTTCCTGTCTTTTAGGCAACATCCGCCAAGTGCAGTTTGTGTGAAGAAACGCATTCTGTCGTGTCTGCCGGAGCCCAGCGCGGCTGCTGTGCACGAACCAGCTTTTGTGGCCCACAGAGCGATGACTCAGTCTGGAGCTCGGCTACTCTCCGGCCCGGGGTGCTGGCATTTCCCTGGGGCCCAGTGCCTCTATTTTCCCCATGAGGCCTCAGCCAAGAGGAGGTTCTGGAAGAAAGGAAAACACTGGTGCCGAGAGAGAAGGGCTGGCCAAGAGGCACCACGCCATCAGTGCTGATGGGGAGAGGCGGCTCCAGCCCGGCCCTGCTGTCCTTACGAGGCGTGTTTCCTTTTTATTCAGAGGAAGGGCAGCAGAGGAACACGTCATGGAGACGGACCGAGTGGAAGGAGCCAGGGATGGCGACAAGCAGAAGGAAGTGTATTTTGTCCCCATCCAGGGAAACTTTTGTTTCATGAGACTTTACTTGCACACGTCTGATGGCCGCCCTGGACGTTCATGGACTTTTGTTTTCACTCAAATTTTGTGGTTCAAGTGACACAAAGCATGAGGACGTCACTGGGTGAAAGGGCCAGGTCACCCCACCGCGGAGGGTCACGCCCCAGCTGTGCACCGCGGGAGTGGGCTTGTCCAGTCTTCAAACACAGGGACAGGATGTGCCCATCTCATGTTAAGACGTGAATAATAGTAGAAATTTCTGTTACAGGAGAACTCTCTGCATTATCCTCACCATTTTCCTGTAAGAGTAAAACTTCTAAAAAATTTTTATGAGCACACTAATTCCTCACTTAAGGTCATCATTAGGTTCCTGGAAACGGCAACTTTCAACAAAAGGACAGACAGCAGGTGCTCAAATAGCATTCTTTCCTTCAACATCATTTCATACTAAGGAGAAAAAATGGATTTTGTTACATGTCCTTTCATTTAAGGCTGCACTTTCCAAGAACCTACTGGTGACATCAAGTAAGGACCTACTGCACCTTACAAGTTGCTGGCATTTGCAGAGTGCACCCCAGGTGGGCCTGGAATTGACCTAAGGTGGAGGAGAGCAGGTGTGCTGCTCCGTCCTGGCTGTGTGGCTCCGTCCTGTGGACTGATGCAGGTGGACAGTCAAGAATGCTTTCAGGAGAATGTGGGTGGCCTGCCAATGGGACCTATTCCAGAGGTCTGAGAAGAAACTGTCGTTTAACCTAGAATCCTACGAGGAATCAAACTAGCTTTGACATGAAAAGGAAAAAGAATGACGACTCTGAATAGGTAGAGACTCAGAACAATTCTTACCCACTCATCGTTTAGGAAAAATTCTTACAGCACGTGCTTCACCAGGGTCACCAATTGTCCCAATTTGCTTGGGACTGAGGATTTGTTTTTGTTTGTTTGTTTGTTTTGAGACAGAGCCTCTCTCTCTGTTACCCAAGCTGGAGTGCAATGGTGCGATTTTGGCTCACTACAACCTCCATCTTCCGGGTTCAAGTGATTCTCCTGTCTCAGCCTCCCTGAGTAGCAGGGATTACAGGCACCCACCACCATGCTGGCTAATTTTTCAATATTTAGTAGAGATGGGGTTTCACCATGTTGGCCAGGCTGGTCTCGAACTGCTGACCTCAGATGATCCACCTGCCTCAGCCTCCCAAAGTGCTGTGATTACAGGCATGAATCACCATGCCCAGCCTACTCAGGGGGTTGTATGGACATGGGACTTTTACTGCTAACACTAGCATAGCCTCTGTCAGACTGAGATGATGGTCACTCTTTAGCCAAACATCGCCACCACTGTCCCCCAACATCCACAACAGCAACAGTTTGAGTAAAGACGCAAGCACCACCTGCGGTCCAAATACTTGAGTGTGTTAACGGTGCGTTGGGTGCGCACGGTGGTACCCAGAGTCTCCAACTAGCTCCTCGTGAGCTGGGTGGGGCATGCAGGGGAGGAGGCAGAGCTTCCTGCCTGTCTGGGGAGGCTGTGGGCTCCAGCTCTGCAGACTTTGGGAGGAAACCAGTGTTCACACACTTGTAGGAATGCACGTGTAGTTTAGGGTTTCTTTGGAACTCAGCTGTGGACAAAGCACAGAACTCAGTTGTCTCTGTAGAAAAGGGTGGCCTGTCACCCGGTACCAGCTGAGGGGAGTGCGGTGGTGAGAGCACCTGGTGGTGGCCGAGAGGAGGCACGGAGCAGAGTCAGGGTCCCCTCACGCAGTGAGTGCAGAAGACAGAACCACAGAGGCAGTCGTAATGACATTACTTCATTTGGGGTTAAATTAGGGTGCACATCACACAAAATCCCCAAACCACAGGGAATGAAATGGAAGTTGTTTCTCTCTCGTTCTCTCTCATAAAACAAGTCTGAAAGCTGCAGTGTCATCAGATCCACGGCCCCGCATCTCTGCCACACCCCACCATGCACCTCCACTCCTCCCAGCCTGGGGCTTCCAGAGCTCTAGGAACTCGGGAGAAACAAAGACACTGGGATCTTCTGCCATGGAAGCAGAGAGGAACGCTGGGGAAACACAAGGGCACTTGCTGCCACAAGTGCCTCCTGGAAGACCAAAACCCAATGCCATGACTGCCTCCCTCCAGCAGCGACAGCATGAGTGAGCCAGATCCCCACCTTTGATCATCGAGGCTGAGAGGTAATATCTGAGGTCGACAGATCAAGAACTAGACATAAAAGCAAACCACGCTGGTGGTAAAGAGGAGGAATGACCGTAAGATGCCTCTGAAAAGTGGGACTGCGGGGAACCTCCTCTTGGTTTCTGGTTGCACGTGTGAATTTGTTGAAAACTGAACATATTAAGATGTGAGCTTAGGAGTTGGCAGCCTGCAGCATGGGGAGGTGTGGGAAGTGGACAGTCTCAGGCCAGGTTGGGCTGGAAAGTGGTGCCACCTCGAGAACAGTAGGTGAACATCTACCCCCAGTGACGACATTCAGACCTTCACCCAGCATCCACTTCCAGGGGAGATTTTCACAGAAATATTCACGAGTGCCCACAAAATATACAAAGGATGATGAGGGTTGAACATTGTTATGACAAAACATGGGAAGCAACTTAAATGCCATCCGTGGGAAACGGTCTACTGGTGGAACTGTGGGGCTGTGGGACACTGTGGGTGGGTGAGAAATGGAGAAGCGTCTCCAAGCATCAGCAGGATAAGACGGCTCTATCTGTTTTCAAAGGAGAAAAAGAGCAAGCCCCAAGCTGTGCATTTACACAGGGACATGGGTGCATCCATCTGTAATGCGTCTGTCACCCCACACCAGGAGGGTTTACCTCTGCATGGGGAGAGGGTGAAGAAGGGTTTTCACCTGGTGCTAGACTGCCTGGGTTCAAATCCTGCTCCTACTTAGTGCTGTGCATTTGGGCAAAATACCTAAACCTCTCTGTGCCTTCCTTTCCACCTCTCTGAAGCAGGGTCTGTGACAATGCCCACTCCTCCTTCATAAGATGGTGGTGAGGATTAAATGAGCTGATGCCCTCACAAGGTGTTTGTCCACCAGTGATATGGTTTGGCTGTGTCCCCACCCAAATCTCGTCTTGAATTGTAATCCTCCTAATTCCCACGTGTCGAGGGAGGGACCCCGTGGGAGGTGATTGGATCATGGGGGTGGTTTCCCCCATGCTGTCCTCATGATACTGGGTTCTCATGAGATCCGATGATTTTATAAGGCAGCTTTCCCTGCTCTTGCACGCTCTCTCTTGCCTGCCGCCATGTAAGATGTGCCTTTTCCCTTTCCACCATGATTGTAAGTTTCCTGAGGCCTCCCCAGTCATACAGAACTGTGAATCCATTACATCTCTTTCCTTTATAAACTGCTCTGTCTTATAGCAGTGTGCGAATGAACTAATACAGTAAATTGGTACTGCAGAGAGTAGAGTACTGCTATAAAGATACCCAAAATGTGGAAGCAACTTTGGAACTGGATAATAGACAAAGATTGGAACAATTTGGAGGGCTCAGGAAAACGACAGGAAAATGTGGGGAAGTTTGGAACATCCTAGAGACTTGTTGAATGGTTTTGACCAAAATGCTGATAGTGATGTGGATGATGAAGTCCAGGCTGCGGTGGTCTCAGATGGAGATGAGGAACTTCTTGAGAACAGGAGTGAAGTTCTCTCTTGCTATGCTTTAGCAGAGACTGGTGGCATTTTGTCCCTGTCCTAAGATCTGTGGAACTTTGAATGTGACAGAGATGACCTGAAATTGGAACATATGTTTACAAAGAAGCAGAGCATTAACGTTTGGAAAATTTGCAGCCTGACAATATGATAGAAGAGAAAAACCCATTTTTTGGGCAGAAGTCCAAGCTGGCTGCAGATATTTGCATAAGTAACGAGGAGCCAAGTGTTAATCACCAAGACAATGGGGAAAATGTCTCCAGGGTATGTCAGAGGACTTTGCAGCAGCCCCTCTTATCACAGGAATGGAGGCCTAGGAGGGAAAAATGGTTTCATGGGCCAAATCTAGGGCCCCACTGCTCTGTGCAGCCTCTGGACTTGACACCTTCTGTCCCAGCTGCTGCCACTCCAACTCCAGTAGTGGCTAAAAGGTGTCACATACAGCTTAAGCTGTTGCTTCAGCAGGTGCAAGCCCCAAGCCTGCACAGAATTCAAGAATTGAGGTTTGGGAACCTCTGTCTAGATTTCAGAAGAAGTATGGAAACAGCTGGATGTCTAGGCAAAAGTTTGCTGCAGGGGTGGAACCTTCATGGAGAACCTGTTAGGGTGGTGAGGAAGGGAAATATGGGGCTGGAGCCCCCATAGCAGAGTACACACTGGGTCACTGCCTAGTGGAGCTGTAAGAAGAGGGCCACCATCCTCCAGACCCCAGAATGGTATACCCACTGACAGCTTGCACTGTGGCCTGGAAAAGCTGCAGACACTCAACGCCAGTCCATGAAAGCAGCCAGAAGGGGGGCTGTACCTTACAAAGCCACAGAAGCAGAGCTGCCCAAGACCATGGGAACCCACCTTTTTCATAAGTGTGACCTGAATGTGAGACATGGAGTCAAAGGAGATTATTTTGGAGCTTTAAGATTTAATGATTGCCTCACTGGATTTTGGACTTACAAGGGGCCTGTAGCCCCTTTGTTTGGCCACTTTCTCCCATTTGAAATGGAATAATTTACCAAATGCCTGTACCCCCATTGTATCTTGGAAGTAACTAACTTGGTTTTGATTTTACAGGCTCATAGGTGGAAGGGACTTGCCTTGTCTCAGATGAGAATTTGGACTTGGACTTTTGAGTTAAGACTTTGGAGGATGGTTGGAAGGGCATTATTGTGTTTTGAAATGTTAAGACATGAGATTGGGGAGGGGCCGTGGGCAGAATGATAATGGTTTGGCTGTTTTTCCACCCAAATCTCATGTTGAATTGTAATCCCCATAATCCCCACATGTCAAGGGAGGGACCTGGTGGGAGGCGACTGGATCATGGGGGTAGTTTCCCCCATATTGTTCTCATAGTAATGAGTTCTCACAAGAGCTAATGGTTTTATAAGGCATTTTTCCCTGCTCTTTTTTGCTCTCTCTCGCCTGACGCCCTGTAAGACATGCCTCTTCCCCTTCTGCCATAATTGTAAGTTCCTTGAGGCCTTCCCAGCCATGCAGAACCATGAGTCAATTAAACCTCTTTTCTTTATAAATTACTCCGTCTCAGGTAGTATCTTTATAGCGGTGTGAGAACAGACTAATACAATCAGCTTCTATGTTGTTGGCAGTTTTACCATGAACATGGATTCCTGTATTCCTTCTGAAATTTTCTTTAAAAGTTTCAGCTTATATAGAAAGTATATTTGACACTCACAATCCTTCCCAGCCATAAAAGACAGTGGGGTGTGAGTGTGTGGGGTGGGAGGCAGCAGTGGCAGCCCAGTGACAACAGCAGTGTATGCCGGGAACAGCTCAGCAGCAGGGCAGGTCAGGGCTGACCTGAATTGCCAGGCTCGCTACACCGAGTGATTTGGTTTGCAAATAAATATTATTTGTTTCTGTTTTAACGTGTAAATAGAGCACCTG